GAGGGAAGTGCACGGGATTATGGTGATGGCACACGGGTGACTTGGTGATGGGAAACCCACGGGGATTACAATTGAGATGGAAAAAAAAATGTACAAAATGATGTAAAAATAAACTTATAAAAAAAAAATGAAAGTGGCACCGGAATTCTGGTGATGGTTCTGCCACTGATGCACTTGAGATTATCACCAGATCATGTCCTCCACGCTTGTTTCTTCTATTAAATGAAGGATGAAGACTAGTAGAAGGTAAAGAAGGTTAAGTGTAAACAAAACAGTGTCAGCTCAGTGTTGTATGATAAATGATGCTGAGCCTCACTGAGTGTGTGTGTGTGTGTGTGTGTGTGTGTGTAGGGGTAATAGGGAGTGGTGGAGACTATGGCAAAACAGAGATTATGTACTCTGTAAAGAGGGCAGTCCTCAGAGTGCTGCCCAGTTGTGTTAGATGGGAATATGGGCCAAGGGGCATCATATCTTCAAGGATGCTGCAATTTTTAAAATTTTAAAGACTAGGCTCAAAAACTGGAAAATATTCTGTCATCAAAATAAAAGACTTTTATGGGATGGATTCCACATGAGGATTACCAATCTCTAACCTCTGAGTAAATGTGAGCAAGAGTTCCCGGTTTCTTCTTACCTGTTCCCATACCCACCACTTATCTCCCTCGGGCTCATCCTGTAGCCTTGTTTTTCTGCCAGGATTCATAACCTGAGTTGTCATGGCGTTTCCAGCTCTACAGTCTGATACCTCAGACTCTGGGTTCAGACCTAGGAACCCACAGGAAACAGGAGAAGGTTCTCAGGCCCAGAACCTGGGGTGTGATATATCCTCATGTTAGTAAAAAACTCCAGCCAGGGTGGAGGGAAGCAGTTACTCTCCTGGCTGGGATAGGTTGGGGTACGGGAGAGAGGGGGTGTGGGAAGATGGGTGAGTGATGGGTCAGAGAGGAGGAAGCAAGGTCACACTTTGTCATTGTGCCATCTATTACTCAATTTGCTACCACCTCTCCAACCCTGGCGTTTGCACACGTTTCTCAGTCACTGCCTTGGCATCCTGTGGGGATACCTGGGGTTGGTACCGGGTAGTATGTTGTGATGGTTAATTTATGTGCCCACTTCTCTGGGCCATGGGTACTGAATATTTGGTCAAACATTCTAGGTGTGTCTGAGTTTTGGGGAGGAGATTGGCATTTGAATTTGAGTAAAACAGATTTCCCTTCTCTCTGGGTGAGCTGTGTCCCACCACCGGAATACCTGACTATGACAGAAGACTGAGTAAGGGGGTCCTCGCTCTCTCCCTCTTTCTCTCCCTCCTTGACTGCCTTTGAACTGAGGTATTGGCCTTCTCGTACTTTTGAACTTGGCTTACACTAGAACATACACCATCAGCTCTGGTTCTTGGGCCTTCAGACTCAAATTGGAGCTATGTCATTTGTGGTCTCCTGGGTTTTCAACCTGCAGATCCCAGAACTTCTCAGCTCATGGTTGGTCAATTCTAGATCGATCTATCTATCTGTCTATCTATGGTTCTCTTTCTCTGGATACAGGCAATACCTAAGACAGATGTCTTCCTCTTTGCATCACATCATTTGTGGAGACTTCCTGTAGTTAGGAATTCAGTAAATAACAAATTCATGACTGATCAATATGAACTCTCCCTAACTTAGGGAAGAGAAACTGGATGTGGAGTTCTTGCAGAAAACAGCCCTGCATGGATAGGGTAAAACTTCAAGAAGTTGAATTTTCTCAGGATGGATCAATGGCTTAAATCTAAATATGAAACCATAAAATTTTAGAAAAAATACATAAGAGAAAGCCTTCAGTATCTAGGGCTAGACATCCGCTTGCTAGAATTGACACCAAAAGCATGATCTAGAAAGGGGAAAATTGATCAATTGGACTGCATTACAGTCAAACCTGTGCTCAGTAGAGGACTCTGTTAAAAGGAGGAAAAGACAAGACTCAGAAAATATGTACAAAACACGTATCTGAAAGGACTAGTCTCTAGAAATAGAAACATCTCTTAAAGTTCAATGGTGAAAAACCAACCAAACAATACAATAAAAATGGACAAAAACCATGAACAGACATTTCACCAAACAGGATATACAGATGACAAAAATAAGAATAGGTGCAGATGTTCAGCATCATTAGCCAGTGGCCCATGCAAATTAGAATCATAATGAGGTATTATACCCCGATCAGGATGGCTAAAATAAAAAATATAGTCACGGGCCCTCCCTGGTGGCGCAGCGGGTTAAAGCACAACACTGAGAAGCTGAAGCCACTTCCGCATGAGTTCAATCCCCGCCTGCCCCGGAGGTGACCACATGGTGTGGCAGACCTCTCCTGACCCGCCCGCTGCTCCCCTCAGCAGTGCACTTCGTCCATCTGCCTGTTCTGCTCCCCACTCTCCCTGGTGAAGCCTCTCACCGCCACTGCGCCTCTGGCCTGTACCCCAGTTCTGTATGCACAAATAAATAAATCTTAAAAAAAAATATATATAGTCACAACATCAAGATGGTGGCAAGAATGTGGAGAAACAATCACTCGTGTTGCTAGGGAATGCTACATGGAACAGTCACTTTGAAAGAGTTTGGAAATTTCTCTAAAAATGAAATATTTAACTACCAGACAATCTAGCAACTGCATTCCTGGGCATTTTTGCAAGAAATATGATTTATATCCACACAAAAATACGTACACAACCTTTATAGCAATTTATTTACTTATTTTAAGACTTGTTTATGCATACAGAACTGGGGTACAGGCCAGAGGTGCAGCGGCGGTGAGAGGATTCAGAGACAAGAGTGGAGAGCAGGACAGGCGGACAGACAGTGTACACTGCTGAGGGGAGAGGGAGATGGTCTGCTGAGTCATGTGGGTCACCCGCCTGCCCTGGGATCTAACTCATGCTAAAGAGGCTGCGACTCGCTTCCTAGTGTTGCATTTCAACCTGTTGCACCACCAGGGAGGACCCTACTACAGCTTACTTACAACAGACCCAGATGGAAACAACCCAGACTGTCCTTCAACAGGTGAATGGTTAACTAAACTGCTTCTCTGTGCAGAATAGATTTCTGAGCATCTACCCCAGAGCAATTAAAACTTCAGTGCAAACCTCTTATATGAATGTTTATAGCAGCTCTATTTGTAGCAGCCCAAACTGGATTAACCCAGATGTCCTTCAACAGGGAAGTAATTTTTAAAATGCAGTTTAAACCAAGGATAACTGCTCAGCAATTACAAAGGAATAAATCGGACACACAGCCCGGGCGCCTACACCTCATTTCTTCTATACAAAAACAAATAAATAAAATCAGATGTCTTCAGTGAACATCACAAAGCAGAGGAAGGAGCCCCCCCGTCCTCCGCACTGCGACAGTGCATGGGGTAGACAGGAATGTCAGGATCTCTGTGGAAATGTCCTGAGTGTGTGGGTGAGTCAGCACTGGTTTCGGTTCCACAGATAAAGAGAACTTACTCAGGCCTAGGAGGCTCCTGTGGTCCAACCCTGCCTGCCTCACCATGACTGAGCACTCTTAGGCCAGCCTCTCTGGAGGGGACTTCAGCTCGCAGGCCTTCTCCGGCGGGGCTGCGGGGCCTCTACACATGCTGTTTCCTCTGCCTGGATGCTTTTCTCTAGCTCTTCACAAATCAGACTCCTTCTCATTCATAACCCACCTCAACTGAGACCACACAGAGGCCTTCCCGAAGGGCTTTCACTCTCAATGCTCCAATCATAGTCACTCTCTAACTTCATTTCTTTTCCCCATGAATGTCTGAATGTTTAAAAAGTTTTATTTATGTATATAAGAACTAGGGTACAGGCCCTCCCTGGTGGCGAAGTGGGCTAAAGCACAGCACTGAGAATCTAAGGCCGCTTCTGCATGAGTTCGATTCCCCCCTGCCCCAGAGGTGACCACATGGCGCGGCAGACCTCTCCTGACCCACCCGCTACTCCCCTCAGCAGTGTACTTCGTCGATCTGCCTGTTCTGCTCCCCACTCTGTTCTCTCACCACCCCTGAGCCTCTGGCTTATACCCCAGTTCTGTATGCACAAATAAATAAATTAATCTTAAAAAAAAAAAAAAGAACTAGGGAACAGGCCAGAGGTGCAGCAGTTGAGAGGATTCACCAGAGACAGAGTGGGGAACAGAACAGGTGGATTGACCAAAATACACTGCTAAGGGGAGCAGCAGGTGGGTCAGGAGAGAGAGGTCTGCTGCGCCATGTGGGTCAGCTCCCAGGTGGGGATGGAACTCGTGAGGCAATGGCTGTGGAGAGCTTCACAGTGCTGCGCTTTATCGTGCTGTACCACCAGGGAGACCCAAAATGTCTGAATTTTAACATATGAAACATCCTTTTTGATTATTTTCCCTCTTCACACACTGTCAGTGCCACAGGACAGGGATGCTGTCTTCTCACTGCTGCTCCCCCAGTGCCCAGAACAACCCTGGGACCCAGCATTTGAGCTGGTTGCCAGATTGAATGAAAGACCTACCCTCTAGAGGTCCGCTCTCCAGACTGGTAGCGGCTGGCTCCCATATTGTGACTGTGTGACTCGAAGCTAATGAAAGTAAAGCTCTCATCCTCAGGTCAAATTAAGCACATTTCTAGGGCTCAATGGCCACGTATTACTGGTGGCTGCCATAGTGGACATCGAAGATGTCCTTTCCATCACAGCAGAAAGTCTGGCTGGATGGTGCTGCTCGAGACCTGGGTGCCCATTACACTTCTCGACTTTTACTCATTGCTTGTGTCATTTCCTCTGCCTGGAATGCCCCATGGGACCTTCAGTAAAAAGCCCTCACATGTATGATTTGCAATATGTTAAAACAAATGCCTTAAGAGCCAACAATGATACTTCTCGGGCTGCAACCTTAAGAATTGCTGATAGATGCAAAGATTTACCCATAGCAAAGGGGTGGGGGCCGGGGGAAGACTGGTTACATTATGGTAGCACCATCCAGAATAAAAGACTAGGTAATGACATGGAAACATTTTTAAAATACAAAGAAAAAAGGCTGTTTACCATACATGAAAAAAATTACAAGACAGACATGGAGATGGGAATCTGGGGAGATCCCAGCTTCATCTGCAATGTTTGAAACTTTTAGAGAATGTAATTTAATAAGCAGTTACCAGTTAATGAGCATATATAACTGAATGGTTTCATTTTTGCTTAAAAAAATGAAGACCCTTGAAGTTGTAAAGAGCATATCAACACCCTATAGAAGGAGCTTGACAGAGTAAATGGTCCCCAACCCCCCGTCAATTTAAACTGAGAATAAGAGAGAAGATAATTGCCACAATGTTAACCATGGCTTGTTCTAGGGAGAGGACTGGAGAGATTTTACTTTCTCCGTCTAAGTTATCTCCCAGATTCCCATCTGGAGAGAAATACTTTAAGGTTCAACTCAAATGATAGTTCTCCATGAAGCCTTTCTTGCTTTATTCCTTCACATCCCCCCCACCCCAACTAGATGCAAATGTAAAGTTTCTCTGGCGCCCCTCCTCTGCTTTGGTAACTGAACAGATGGAGGGAGGCCCTCTCAGGCAGCCCGCCCTGGGTAGAAACCAGCCACTGCAGAGCTGCGTTGAGGAGCAGAGCTGCGTTGAGCAGCAGCCTAAAGGTGGTGACCGATGACCTACTGGTCTGTTTTGCTCTAGGATTTGATAACTGGAGGCCTCAAAAGAAGTTTGGGGGAGCGTGGTGTCATTGGGAACAGGATGAGAGGGATGGAGTGTGAGCTGATCCTGAGGATTTGGGGCGGTTTCAGAGGTGATGGACAAGACCTGGGTGACCCCCACACCCCCGCCTCTGTCACCTGCTCTTCTTTGGAGGCAGGGAAAGCCGGCAGTTAGATTTCGTGGCATAGCGGCATCGGCATCCGCAGCGGGAGGCCTGTCAAGAAGCTTCACCCATGGCCCTCCCTGGTGGCGCAGCGGGTTAAAGCACAGCACTGAGAATCTAAAGCCGCTTCCGCATGAGTTCGATTCCCACCTGCCCCGGAGGCCTTTACCCCAGTTCTGTATGCATAAATAAACAAATCTTTAAAAAAAAATGGGAGTTTCTCTTAATAAAAATAAACAGCCCCCCCCATGGCCC